CCGGACGCGCGTGAGTAGCAGCAGGGGCCGGCCGTCTCTCCATGAGACCCCTACCCCTCCGTCTGCAGCAGCCACCTTGCTGGGCATGCTTAGAGCACTGTGCTATTTGCAACGACTTCCACCAACTCCCCTGGCCAGCCTCCTTGCCCATTTCCTGGGTCCTAATTGTGTGCCTTTCTGTTCGTTTTAAGCCCCTGAGTCAGGCTTTTGCTCCACTCTCTCCGAGATAACCCTCTGCTGTTCACGAGCCGGGCGGGAGTGGAGCTAAAGCGGGGCTTGAAGGGAAAGGGTAGAATTCGGGTTCACTTCCCACTCAGCCTTGATGGGATATCTGACAGCCTGGTTTTCTCCAGGACTCTGAAGGGAGCTCAGATCCCAGCCTGTAATGCAGAATATGGCAGATGTGCAGGGCAGCTACAATTTTAAGAAATGATGCCTCCCTACTTTTCAAGGATCAGCCCCAATTCTTATCCCAAGTGGGAGGGGTTTTCTCTGTGCCACATCCGGTTAATTTACATATGTATGACATCATCTGACACCCAGGGCACTTGCAATGCCCAGGACACATCTGATGTCTACCTTAGAGCTCCTGAGGCTTTGCAAAGTGCCCTCAGGTTCCCCAGAAAAGCTGACAACCGTTTCACTGGGAACTGGAGGACATTTCCCTCAACACACACACACACACACACCTTCTTTCATCACCATGAGCAGTAATAAAAACATTCTTCTTATAAAGTGTGCATTTTAGAATTCAGGTGAATTTTATTTTTTTAATGAGCAGTTAAGTGAGTGCAAACATATTCAGCTATCTGAATCCTACAAGAGAATAGTGAAACGGTTAAAGGCAGACCACAAGGTTCCATTCCTGAATGGAGATTTCTGCCTTATAATCTGGTGAAGCTAGCAAAGAACCCTCCCCCACCCCAACCCCCACCAGCCTTGACTCTTCTCACACACATCCACACCCACCACTGATTCTAACCCATTCACAATTTAAATAATTAGATTTTTACGAAACTGCATGACATTCACCTCAGTTCTAAAATAAGCAGTTACATAAGTTTTTTTTCTTTTCATTTAAAATATTGCAGTATGAAATACATGAATCGACTGATTTTTTTTTTCTTAAAGAGAATCAATTGCATTTGGATAAGTGGCTAGGATACATATGGGTGAGGAATTAGGCCTTTGTTATTGGCTACTGGTCCTTAACATTTATGCAATTAAAGTTTTATGAGCAAACAGATCTACACACTGATCTTAAACTCTAGTCTTAGTGCTTTTTACAAAGAGGCCCTGAATCACATCAGTGTGACCAGTGAGAGAACTGGGGTCAATGTCTATAGTTGGGCATTTCAATCCCTTTTTGTATTATCTACACACTTTTAATAGATACTTTTAAATACCACTGTATTTGGCATTACGGATAGAAGTGACTACTTTGCATTATCAAATGTATTGATTTTACTAAAAATGCAGACAATGAATGGTAGATAATTACTGTGAGAAGTAATATACACAGATATGTACATTCAAGAATTTTTCTGGTAATGAACTTGTACTCTCTGTAGGACATTAGCCAGCCCCCTGAGTACACCAGGTTTTTGTTTTTTTATTTACATGCACAAGTAGCCATATTCCCTTTTTCTCATACCTCATTCCTTTTTTAATTAGGAAATATACAAAGGGGAAATACTACAGACTTTTGCATATTGCAGTATATTTTTTCCCTCTTGGATTTCTGGGGTGACTATGTATAACATTGAATAAACAAATATCATTCAACAGTGGATTTAAATTATACAACTGACACCTTGCCTGCCAGTTTGCAGATAGCTGCAACTAATTATTAGCTTGCTTAATGTTGAAATGTATATTTAGTTTTCTAAAGCCCAGAGACCTGGAGAGGGGAGGTGGTTAAAGTAGAGGTAGGTGCATGACACCTCCAACTATGTTCTTCTGTCTCAAGATTGCTTTGGCTATTGTGGACTTTTTATAGTTCCACATAAATTTTAGGGCAGTGGTTCTCAACCTTCCTAATGTCGCGACCCTTTAATACAGTTCCTCATGTTGTGGTGACCCCAAACCATAAAACTATTTTCGTTGCTACTTCATAACTGTAATTTTGCTACTGTTATGAATCATAACGTAAATATCTGATATGCAGGATGTATTTTCATTGTTACAAATTGAACATAATTAAAGCATAGTGGTTAATCACAAAAGCAATATGTAATTATATATGTGTTTTCCGATGGTCTTCGGCGACCCCTGTGAAAGGGTCGTTCGACTCCGAAAGGGGTCGCGACCCACAGGTTGGCGACCCACAGGTTGAGAACCCCTGCTGTAGCAACAGTCCCTCCTGACTTACCCTTGCAACTCGTTCACCCACTTTCCTCAGACATTGTTTTTATTTTAATCTACTTCATTCCTACTCTCACGTGGAAACAGAAAAAGAATGCCCATGTCCTTCTTACAGGGACACAATATTACACTTGTAAATTCTTTCTGCAATTTGCTGATCCGGCCTCGTTTGTTTCCTTAACACCAGTGATTGGCTGATTGACTAATTAAACTATTCATGTATCTACATCACTATTAAGACAAGTGACATCTCAACACTTGCTGCCTTTGGTTTGAATTCATATGTTTAATAAGGACTTTCCTATAACATTTTAAGTTGCGAAGGAGGGGGCAATGAATGGTGAGTACTGATGTAATGAGATAGGTCCTATGAGATACATTTTGGTAAGCTGCGGTGGGGCTAAGGGGCAGACATGCCTCCATGCTAACTTTGACTCGACAGAGAAAGAGCTTCATTAGGAGACTTTATTTCCATATGTCAGGGATTTCTTTTATAGCCATAAGATCATGTGACCATACGTATACATCACAATAACTAGTATATATATATTTAAAAACCTGCATGTTTTTGTGTCTTTTTTTATTTTAGACAGGGAGGAAGGAAGAGAGAGAAACATGGATGTGACAGAGACACATTGATTGGTTGTCTCCCATATGTGCTCTGACCAGGAATCAAACCCACAACCTTTTGGTGTAGGGATGACACTCCAACCAACTGAACCAGCAGGCCAGGGCAATAGCTAGTATTTATTCATTCTAGTAAGGCATATTGACACTTATGTGGTGTGAGCATTGCTTGAAAGAATGTCCAGAAACAGCTCCTGTCATGTCTACCCTCGGCAGTGTTTCTGTAACACTGTCTTTCAGGACGCAAGTGATCCTGTTTTTTGTGTTTTTTTTTTAAATAACATTACTGGGTGGATATTTATATTTTAAAATAATGCATCTCAGGGTTTTTCCCCTTATTTCTATCACCATTTATTCCCCTCTACACCCTCTTCCACTTCCATCCCCTACACCCCACAATCACCACACTGTAATGTCAGCATACAGAAAGTCAAAGAGAATGAAGTAAACTACTGTATCTCATGCCAAAAGAAATACTTTCTTAGCAAGACTGTGAGTTTGGTTGTTTTCAGCCCAACATCCCCACATTTAAAAGATCACATGTAATAATACTGCTTCCTAACAGGAAAGGGTGTGGGCAAGCTATGGCTTTCAAGTTAACGCAGCTGGCTGCCTGTTTTTGTATAGCTCATGAGCTAATAATGCTTTCCATATTTTAATGGCTACATTTTAAATGGTTATATATACACACACTTATATAATATTGGTGACTTTGTCTCTGGACCTATAAAGCCTAAAATATTTATTCTCTGCTTTGTCAAGAAAAAGATTGCCCACTCTTGCTGTAGAGTCCAGAACAGTGAATTTTGTATCTTCGGGGTGCTGTGGAATTATCTGGGAATGCAGCAATAACACACAAAAATATTGATCACTTAATTTGGCAGGAAAGCTTTATTATTAAATTCTTCAAGTTCCCCCTCACCAGTTTGGCCTAGTGGACAGAGTGTTGGCCTGCAGACAGAAGGGTCTCAGGCTTGATTTCTGTCCAGGACATGTACCTTGGTTGCAGGCTCGATCCCCAGACAGGTTGGGGCTCATGTGGGAGGCAACCAGTCCATGTGTGTCTCTCATATCGATGTTTCTCTCTCTCTGTCTATCCTGGTCTTTAAAAATCAATGGAAAAAATACCCTTGGGTGAAGATTAGCAAAACCACCAAAATTTTCCTGTTCAATGGGGAAACAAAAATGGTGGGTAGAATGTTCTAAAATTTGACTATAGAGACAAAACAACCAATACAATTTGTGAATCTTGATAAGATTTTGATTAATAACTATACATTACCTTTGGGGGACAATTCAGATGATATAAAGGAATCTTTTTAAATTTTTATGTCTTTTGTGTAGGATGATGTATGTTGAAATAGTTGAGGGTAAAGCATTATGTTTTCAAACTATTTCACATTGTTAAACATATGTTCAATACAGATAAATAAGACACAATGTCAAAAAGTATTGGTGGTGACAGGGGATCATTATACTCTTTCATCATCTTTACAAAATTTAATTTTTTTCTAATAAAATTACTAGGAAAAATGTCACTTTAAATAATATCAATAACCAATAGAAAAACAAAGGACAAAATGATTAACAGGCATAAGGGTAAAGAGAAATAAGAAAGTGTGCCATTAATATTGAGGACACAAGGGAGGTTGGACAGTTCATCCTGAGAGGTATGTCTATTCCTCCCTGATCTGCCGAAACACCATATTATTATTATTTGTTAATCCTCACCCGAGGATATTTTTCCATTGATTTTTAGAAAGAGTGGAAGAGAGAGGGAAAGACAGAGAGAAATATTAATGTGAGAGAAACACATCCAATGGTTGCCTCCTGCAAGTGCCCTGACCAGAACCCGGGCCAGGGAGGAGCCTGCAACCGAGGTGCATGCCCTTGACCAGAATCAAACCTGGGACCCTTTGGTGCATAGGCCGATGCGGCCTCTAGTAGATAAATAAGATACAATGTCAAAAAGTATTGGTGGTGACAGGGGATCACTACATTCTTTCATCACCTTATAAAATTTAATTTTTTTCTAATAAAAATATTAGAAATGATTAACAGGCATAAATGCTGGAAGCTAAGTCCAGCAGGGCATAATAAAATGCAAGAAGTCCTCAAAAGGTTGATGGGCTTCTATATTCAGTAGGGCTGAATCATGTTATTGCCTGCTGGAATAGCTGAAAAGCATTTCCCTAAACCAGAAGATCTACATGTTATTACCTGCAGCTGGCCAAACAGCTGAACAGCTGTAGGCATTTCCCCAAACCTAAAGATTTGCATATATTATTGCCTGCTGCCTGACAGGTGAGGACAGTTCCCTCCAACCTGACAATGCCTTCTGTATACCAAACCTTAACCTTTGATATGTATATCTGCTTTGCCTTAGGGAAATTTGTGTTAATAAAAAAGCAAGGGGTCCAGAGAGAGAGAGAGAACTTGGTTACTGAAGCTAAGCCCTCCTCTGGCTCCCCCAAAATGCCTTCCAAATTCATATTTCATGTCTAGTCTCTTTATTAAATTATGTGCAGCCCTTCTCCAGATTTCTGAACCCTTCTAGATGCTGAGAAACACCTGGCACATAAAGGTAAAGAGAAATAGAAAGCATACCATTAATATTGAGGACACAAGGGAGGTTGGACAGTCCATCCTGAGAGTTATGTCTATTTCTCCCTGATCTGCCTGAACACCACATTATTATTATTATTTTTAATCCTCACCCAAGGATATTGTTCCATTGATTTTTATGGAAAGTTGGAAGAAAGAGGGAAAGACAAAGGGAAACATCGATGTGAGAGAAACACATCAATTGATTGCCTCCTGCATGAGACCAGACCAGGGCCAGGGCAGGGAGGAGCCTGCAACTAAGGTACGTGCCCTAGATCAGAATCAAACCTGAGACCCTTTGGTATGTAGGCTGACACTCTATCCACTGAGCCAAACTGGCTAGGACCTGAACACCATATTATTATGTCATATTTCTTATTTCATTTAAAGGAAAATATATTTTTTTGATTAACATTACATTTCATTAAATGGCAGAAGGAGTTTTATTAGTAGGTGATTGTGTAAAATCTAGTTTCTCTATGTAGAAATGCAAACACCTACCATCTGGTAGAATCTTTAGCTGATGACTCAGCCATAAATGTGATGAGCAAACACCTTGGGTGAAGGGTGCTGATGACTTGGCAGTGCTCGGCGCTTGGTGTAAACAGTAGTAATGTCACCTCCTTGAAAGCAGGTCTTTGAACAGCTCAGCCACGCATTCAGTGATGCAATCATGGCAGGTGTTATTTGGTATTTTAGGCACATGTCTAATTAGGCAATCATCTACAGAGGCAAGCAAAGGAGACTGACTTAACTAAATAGGCCTGAACTTGGAAATCAGAAAAATCAACACCTCTATGTTAGTTTCTTGGATGAGCAGCCTCAGATAGAAAAGAAAACCACAATATAACACATTTGCCTCCATGGATCTGTTTATGAGAGATTGTCTCAGAGACCTGGGTGCTTTGTGGGAACTTAAATCATTTCTCAGATCTTTACTAGCAAAGATGCTCTTTAGGATCCCATCCAAGTCTAAAAGGGCCTCCTGCTTTTCCCTTTGCTCTTTGCTTCTGTCTGTCCAAACTCCATGTTTATTTGACACAAAGGCTCCTGCAGGATCATTAGCGTTTCATGGTGATTCTGACATAAATCTGTTGATATAATTCCTGGAAAGCCCTTGTGTGTTCAGAGTTTCTCTGATTATCCTCTGGGCCATTTTGCTGTTTGTGATATGAGACAGATATTGTGGGTGTCATCAAAGCAGTGGACAAGAAGGCAGCTGGAGCTGTCAGTCACCACATCTGCTCAGATAGCCCAGAAGGTTAAATATATATTATCCGCAATACTTGCCACCCTGGTCTTAATCAGGGATGGAAGAATTGGCTCAGAACTGTTTTTGTCTATTGAACATTTAGGTTTAACCTTCAGAAGGAAAGGAGAATGTTTTGTGGACCATTTGGTGGTGGTGGTGGTTGTGTGTGTGTGTGAGTTTAAAGTTACTAGTTTTTAAAATCAGTACTTTTTCATGGTAAAAACTTGACCAAAAATCTGTCACAGAATTTTGAGACCCATTTAAAACAAAGTTTAATGAGGGGAAAAAAGAATGAAAGATGACCCAAGATTAGAACTACAGATGGCTCTTTCAGAACTCTTACACAAAGAAAAACATGGGGGAAAGAGAGAACTCACTGAAGGTGACAGTGAGAGACTAGGTAGTAAAGGTAAATTTGAAGCTTAGCCTCATATAAACTCATCTGAGACTTTTGGAGAAGAAATAAGCCAGCATTTTTGTTGTTGTTATTCGATAGAACAGAAAGTTAAGAAGTATTTAAACTTGGAAGAGGTCGTTATGTAAAATGCTAAGGAACTATTGTGACATTCTATCTGGCAGGCAGTTATTCAGATATTTTTATTTGATCTGTTGCTAAGATTTTATTGCCTATCTGGGTATAAAGAGTCCTTAGTTGCTTTCTTGAGTTTCCAATTTAAAATTAAGTACATTCCAGCTACACAAAAAGCACATATTTATGATGCTCTGCTTTTTACAAAGCTCAATGTGGAATGGCAAATTTATGCCAAGATAGGTTTTCATGGAAAACTGATATGTGAAATTATATAAGTTCCTTATATTCTTGTATTATTTAACCATAAAACCCCATCTCTATCCTAAAGCCCAAATAAAAAGGCTATAATGATAACTCTCCAAACCTATTGAGAGAAGCAAAAAGACGCGAATGAGAGAAATACTTCCTTGGGAAACAATAACATTTTCCTAAATTTGGTTTAGCTACTTAGTGAAATCTCTAAACCCATTGAAATAATATAAAGATTCCAAAGATATTTTTCTCTGTTTAAATAAAAGTGGATGAGTCTTAATTGCATAGAAATTCTCTGAGATTAAGTAGACCTTCCTCTCAAACTGACAGTAAGTATTCTAAAATTTTTTTCAATGAATACCATTGCAGTTTAGAATCCTCATGTTGACTACTGTTATGTAAAGATAAAGGTTCCATACCACACCCCACCAGTGAAATAAAATGTTGTTGAAGCCCAATGAAAATGACAACTTGCTAGACAAAATCTCAGGAAGAATCCAAAATTTAGTCTACAGAGACCCAAGTGAAAGTCACAAGTTATGGTCCCTGGTGACCCAAAGTCCTCTGTCTGGGACAGGGGACACCACATAGGGATTCTGCTGCCAGAGACCCCTCTCTGTCCCAGCATAGAGAGAGCTCCTTCTCTCTCATCAAGTCTTACTGTGAACAAGGACACGGCTTCCCATATCCTACAACCTCTTTCTTGCTGTCCCTGAACTACCCGCTTTTCCTTATAAGGTTTTAATACTGACTTTAGAGCAGGGTTTCTCAACCATGGCATTGCTGGTATTTGGGCCAGATAATTCTTCATTGTGAGGCCCTGTTTGTGCCTGCTGGGATGCTTAGCATCAACAGGCCTTTACCCACTAGATGCTGGTAGCACCCCCTCACCCAGGTGAGCCAACCAAAAATGGTTCTAGTCAAAAGTCCCCTGGGTAAGGTTGGGGGCCAACACTGTCTCTGATTGAGAACCACTGCCTTAGTTGATAAGGAAAATGACTAATGGTGGTGACAAATGCCCCTGCCATCTTTTGTCCTTCTCACAGTCTGAGGATACATGGCATGGGCCATCATCTGGGATATGAATGCCAACCTTGGTCTGGGTTCTGGACTTGCCATGCCCTCGAGCTAATACTTGTATTTCTTAGAGCCTCTGTTTTAGAATAAAGATGTATTCATTCATTAGACAGGTACTCAATGCCCATGGACATGTAATATGAAAGGGAGCCTCCTTCAAAGTTGTTCACAGTTTAGTGAGGAGCTAGAGATCAACAGTAATTAAAATAGGAGCTTTAAGTTCCACTAGAGGTTTCCCACACCTTGGTGAAAAGGGAGACAGACCTTGGATTCCTTGGCTGTCCTCCTATCAGATGTGTACCTGTGAAGTCCATTACCCAAGTCCATGTTCTGTTGCCTTCTTGCTACTGGTGGCACTGCCCTGCTGGAGGCTAAGACCAGCAGGTCATAATTATGCAAGAGGTCCTCAGAAGGCTGAGGGACCATGGGCTTTTAGCAAGAACTAAAGGCTATGCACCAATTGTTCTGTCAAGACAATGAATGGCTCTAGGCAACTTCCTAACCTGATAATCTTTTACTGTTTACCAAACCTTACCTTTGATATGTGTGTTTGCTTTGCTAAATGGCAAAATGTGTAAATAAAAAGCCGTGGGTCCAGATATTCGGAAAACCACTCCACTAGAGAGTAGGTATGTGTCTGGCCCACCCACCCCCAATGCCTTCTAAATTTGTATTTCTTATCTAGTATATCCATTTATGTCACAGCCCCTTCTCCAAATTCCTGAACCCTTGCTGCAAAAAGACTGCAGCACTGCCCGTGGCCTATTCCTTCTCTGTACTCACAGTCTCTCTCGAGAGAGAGTTGAAGCCATGGCAGACTCTCGCCTTCTTAGCCTCTTACCCACTTCTCAGTCCCAAGCCTCTGACTGTGGGAAGGACTCCTCTGTTCACCCCTGTACATGAAGATGTTGTTAGTAATAAAGAGATCGATCCAGTACTACTGGCTTCCACTGGCAACGTTAAACCCATCCTTCTTACCCCAGGGGAGGTCACATTTCAAAACTCTCCTCTCAATTCTGCCCAAACAAGGTCCTGCCCTGACCTACAAAAGCCCAGCAGTAACCCTACCGACACTGTTTAAAGGCCCCATAGGATTATCAATACCAAAGGGCCGCAGATAAAAGACTTTTATTGCCAACCATTTTCTTCTGTTTCAACATAAAACAGCATCCACATGGAACAAAGACCAATATCTTTATTACATGCCAAAGTAAAAGATGAGGTTGTGTTGATTTGTACTCATTTCCTGGAACCCAGCCAGATTTGACAAAATCTGGAGATTTTTTCCTCCGGAGGAAATCTAACTCTTCAGTGGCCTATTGTGTGGTTTGTGAAGAACCCAGACCTCGTGGTTGTTTTTCAGCTCCCCTCCCCCCATCTTTAGCCCTTCCTACCACTGAGAGTCTCTGAGTGTGGAAGGAAAAACTCCATCTTTCTTAGCAACTTTTCTATTTTTCTACTTAACCTACACAATATTTTATAAATGTGTGAATAAATATTTTATTATGTGTGAACATACGTCAGCTTAATGTAGCACACCTGGTGTCAGTATGGTTATCACGGGCAACTTGAAAATTTGTGTTACATTTCCAAGAGAGGAAGAGAGAGGGAGAAAGAGATAGAAACATCAATGATGAGAGAGAATCATTGATTGGCTGCCTCTTGAATGCCCCACACTGGGGATCAAGTCTCCAACCCGGGCATGTGCCCTGACCGGGAATCAAACTGTGACCTCCTGGTTCATAGGTGGACACTCAACCACTGAGCCACGCTGGCTGGACACATTACATAGATTTACATCATCCATTCCAGGGCTACATGCTACTACCATGAGCGCTATGAGAGTTTTTATACCTAATAATACTTCCAAATTGCTATCATGAATCCCGATGTCCACTGAACCTGCAATCAAGCAGATTCCTTGTCCTCCACGAAGGCTGTGCGATGAGCCCAGGGCAGGAGCTGCAACCAGACACCTGCAGCCCCACAGGTCGCCCGGCACAGCCAGCCTGGAGCCTGTGGCCACTCCAGGGTCACCAAAGCAAGAGGTCAAAATGAAAAGATGCATCGCCATTCTCCCAAGTTCAAATGTCTCACCTCTTTCTTAGAAAAACGGATGTTACACAGGTTTCTTCCCTTGCACTTTTCCAGGAAACCCCAAGCTTACTGGCACTTCACCCCCAGTAAGGCAGGCAGTGGTAGGGTTAATGACCCCGTGGGTGATGCACAGAGAATTGTTATCTCTGAGATATACTGAGTTCCAGACAAGCAGGGATATTAGAATGGCACCACGCATTGTGCTAGATTCTGAACTGTTTTCTTTGGTTCTGTTTCACAATCGGAGAAAAAACACTCTTTAATCACACTCTTTCACCATTTTATTTCACACCGAACAATTGTGGAGACATTCAGGTGTTATCTCCATTATTAGTGGGATTAGCAAATACTGGAAGCATGCCTCTGTGAGCCATCAGCCTTAGCCCCGTTGTTTGCCGTGTCTCTTTTTATCCCCGTGGCAGGGACGCGAGGTAGATACCACGCTCACGGTTCTGCAGATCAGAGCCCCAAGGCTCAGTGTTTGAATGAAACCCACGTTGCAAAACTTACACTTCAGACTGGGCTCCTCCCACCTCTGAGGAGCTTCCTCACGCCGGTGACTTCATCAGAGACTGTCCATCACTTCCCCGTGTTTTTTCTAAAATCCAGTCCGCGTACTCAGCAACTTTAGTGTAGACACCTGGTTGTTCCTTGCGGCCACAGCCTTCACCCCAACTGGTGATGCCCACCAAAAGCCATATTCCATGGTGTTTACAAACTAAAGGGCCACCTGAATCTCCCTGTGTCACAGTGGGAAGAAAAAGAAAATGAGAGAAGGTTATGACAGACGTGCATTTATCATTCTGTAGTCATACCACACACACCACACAAGTCTGATTTCTTATAGATTTTCAGGCATCTCATATGGCTCATTAGCTGTTGAACGTGGTGAAAATTATGCAATTTAATAATGTATTGTCCAACGAAGAAATGTTGACACCTTCATTCCACTGTCAAATAAGCCTAATATTCAGCCAATCAGTGATTATCTCTCATCATTGATGCTTCTATCCCTCTCTACCTCTCCCTTCCTCTTTCTGAAAGCAATAAAAACATTTTAAAAAAGAAGCTTAATATTCTTACATTTTAGTACAATTATTGTATGTACAATTGTCCTCCTTTAAATATAGCATGTTCCTGCACAGATTGTAACATATGTTATATAAATTATATATGTGTATAATTTTAGAGGTTATGTATGAAATTATAAGACCATTTAACTCTGATTTAAAAAACTATAATGACATATTCTATTAGAAAATATATTTTGAAATGGATTTTCTCAAGTTTTCATGATTATTATAACAGAAGGCATTACCTTACAAGCATCTTTTCCCCCTTCTTTATAGCCAGCACAGATCATCTTTTTGGTTATTTCATAATCTCTATATCTTTTCTGGCATTCTTCATTTGTAACCAAAGGAATATTTGCCTTTTGAAGGATATTTTGGACTTCACCTATGAAGTAACCAATATATAACTTCAGAAGGAGGAAATACAATAAATGTGAAAATAAGAATGAAGTCTTAAAGCAAATCAATCAGAATGATGAACTTTGCATTAAGGCCATTCCTTTGGATATACATACTAAAGGTGAGAAGGGAGAATTACACCACACACACACACACACACACACACACACACACAGGAAGAGAAGGGGGACTGTACTCTTCATTGGCCTCTGATGCTGTGTTAGAACAACTCCAGATGCAAGACTAACCAGAGATTTTGCTTCCATATTCTCTGCCATTCTCTCATCCAATAGAAGTTTCTCAGAAATTCCTTCCTCTTGCCTACAATCTAAAAAACTGAAGCTCTTACCTTGTAGTTTTGTTTTATATATTAAAAATGATAATCTTTAAATATATAACTAAAAAAATAAACCAAATCTCTGGCAATAGAGGAGCATTTTGTTCTTCAAGTAAAAGCAAGTCAGCATTTTCCATGAAGAACAGTTTATTTACAAACTCATGGCCCAGTGCACGAAATTCATGCCCATTAAAAGGGGATTAATTAGAGGAAATATTTTAATATTGCTATTTGCCCCTTCTCTATAATAGAAGTGTCAGAGATAAAAGAAAATTAATAAAATGTATATGAAAATCTTCCTCCTGTCAGCCTCTGGGGTGCGCCGTGGGAACCAAAGTCAAGTCCCTGCCCACCCTTGGCGCTTCAAAATCACATGAGACCCAGACCCAGCTGGCCCCACCCCCATTGGGTGAGATCCAATCCTGGCTGGCCCCACCCTTCTCAAGCCCTGCTGGGTGGGGGGTGCAACCTCAGGTCCCCCAGCACACCCTCAGGTCTCCCAGCCTGATGCTGGGGTGGGGGGTATGGCCTGAGGTCCCTCAGCCCTACACCAGGGCAGGCGGTGCAGTCTGAGGTCCCCCGGCCCAGCACCAGGGCAGGGGGTGCACCTTGAGGTTCCCTGGCCTGGCACCAGGGCAGGGGGCATGGCCTGAGGACCCCCGGTCCGGGCCGGGGGGGGTTGGCACATCTTGAGGTCCCCCATCAAGCCCCGCCAGGTAAGGGGCACAGCCTCAGGGCCCTTGTCAAGCCCCGCTGGGTGGAGGGAGCAGCCTGAGGTCCCCCGGGGGTTGGGGGAGAACCAAGAGGTCCCCTGTCAAGCCCCCGCGGGCAGGGGGCACAGCCTCAAGTCCACTGCCCTGGCCCAGCACCTCGCAGCCTCAGGTCCCTGCTGATTGGTCATTAAGACTCATTACAGGAACTCAGCCTCCGCTGTGGGTGCAGCCATCTTGTGTTATGGAAACCCAGCCTCTGCTGTGGGCACCACCATCTTTGTGATTGCATGACAGTCAATTTGCATATCCCCTCTTTATTAGCTAGGCTATTTTCTACCAGTGTCCAGTTAAAGTTACTTTTAAATCTTCCTACCTTGACTAGTCAAAAATCTGAAAAATTTGAATTAGTTGAATGAAGGACTAAATTAGGAAAGATGGAGAGAGCTTGGCAAGCTATCTCTTTTTGCAAAAAGTGATTATATATAGTGTTCCTTATTATGTCTATCAGGAACATCATTTTGGAAGGAAAGAATGACTGGTTTCCTGAAATTTTCAAGTGCAATTGAAGTGCCCCAAGTATTCATAAGCAGGTGTTCTTAACCTAGGGCCCATAGAAAGAATTCACATTGTCCATAAACTTGGATAGAGGAAAAATACATTCTTCTTTTCACCAACCTTGAACTGAAGTCTAACACTCCCTTCAATTGTGAGTGTAGGCAACTATCTCAGGAGTATTAGCCATACCTCTGCCTTTCCCATCACTCCAATTCGCAAATATGTTCCAGTCACATTGCACTTGCGACAGATAACTGAAATGATCATTTGTGCTCATCACAATTTCAAATTGTGGTAGTTATTAGAACAACTCGCTATTTAATATATTAATAAAGAAACACATGTGTGACTATGTTACGTCTTTTAAAAAGTACTTTTGATAACTGTCTTGCAATTTCATTGGTTGCTTTTATAATCCTATATGTTTTTATCTAAGCATTTAAAAACATCATTCTGGAAGTGGTCCATAGGCTTTATCAAGATTGCAGGAGAGATGCATAAAAAAATAGATTAAAAGCCTGCCATTCAGAGAGATGGTGTGCCTGCCTAGATTCCTGGTCATGAATATCAAGAGGAAACAGTGTCATTGGGAGATAGGAACATTATTAATACTACTAACAGGATGGGCTTCAGTGGGATTGTTAGTCCTTTGTGGGACCAATCCTTTATGTGAAGTCAAACAAATGATCTTCATTATAGAGCAGTGGTTCTCAACCTTCCTAATGCCTCGACCTTTTAATACAGTTCCTCATGCTGTGGTGACCCCCAACCATAAAATTATTTTCGTTGCTACTTCATAACTGTAATTTTGCTACTGTTATGAATCGTAATGTAAATATCTGATATGCAGGATGTATTTTCATTGTTACAAATTGAACATAATTAAAGTATAGTGATTAATCACAAAAAAAATATGTAATTATATATGTGTTTTCCGATGGTCTTAGACGACCCCTGTGAAAGGGTCATTCAACCCCCAAAGGGGTCGTGACCCACAGGTTGAGAACCGCTGTGATAGAGTAAGGTGCTCAAAAGTTTATCTGGCTGTAACCGGTTTGGCTCAGTGGATAGAGCGTCAGCCTGCGGACTGAAAGGTCCCAGGTTCGATTCCAGTCAAGGGCATGTACCTTGGTTGCGGGCACATCCCCAGTAGGGGGTGTGCAGGAGGCAGCTGATCGATGTTTCTCTCTCATCGATGTTTCTAACTCTCTACCCCTCTCCCTTCCTCTCTGTAAAAAATCCATAAAATATATATATTAAAAAAAAAAGTTTATCTGATTAATTCTTCCAGGTCCAGGCAAAAATGCATCTTCTCAAGAGCCACTGAACAAATACTTGAGAATCAATAGATTGGAAAGACCATGCGTTTGGATATAATTTTAGGGGCAGATTGAACTGATCCATGCCCTGTGCTTTAACATATGAGAATTGCTTTAGGAACAACATTTACAATGTCACACTGTACCTCGCTCCTTTGTGTAGCCCCATCCCGTTATCCAACAGTTGGTATAAATTGTGTTTGTATCATGTTTGGCAGGAAGGCATATTGGCTTTTGGAATTCTGAAAAATAATTTTAAAATTAGAGTTTAGTTAAAGTTATAGATACTTTTAAGTACACTCTTTCCCCCATATTCTCTTACTATGGAGTAGCACTAAGAAGAAAAACCCTTTTTCCTCCTGCTCAATTTCTAAGGTCAATGATTCAAGAAAATTTCTCACCATCGAAGTCATTTTCACAGGACATTTTCCTTATTACATTTTCTGTATTAAATGAAGAACCTCAGAATTCAAATTTACAGTCAAAGGCGTTTAGAAGTTCTGCCTCTTATTCTGTATATGATACTTTTAATGGGAATAGAGTGCCTAACACTGTTTCAGGCACCAAGTTAAATGCTTTAACTTATGAGCTGACTTAATTATTCTAACAGCACCATGGGGTAATTATCATGCCCATTTCATAAATGAGAAAACTGAGGTGCTAAGAAGTAAAAGCAACTTGCTCAAGGTCGGGGAATTGTTCATGGACACAGCACACCTTCAGCAACTGTGGGGCATTGTTTGTACCTGAAAGGCAGCACCTCCCACAACCGCGGACTGACTTCCCAGAGCTGCCTCCTCCATCAGTTTCTCCTCTGCTCAAGTTACACCTGGAAATTTATTAATTCCCCACTTGCCCCCATAGACTCAATAAGCCTCAGCCCAGAGCAATGCTAATTCTTCTCCCCTAGTTAAAGGAAGCCATGCTTCCCGGATGGCAAAGACACTTCTATGTCTATTACTTCCATAATGTCTGAGCAGTTGTTTCCCTACCCTTGGGAACTAATGAACATTTCTTGCTCCTACATAGAGGAGACTTTTATGTCAAGCCACAGGTCTTATCTGCCCTGGCAAGCTTCACCTTTTCCCCAACTCCACCAACCAGAAAATGAAGAAGACAGTCTCCGCAGATTCTGCCCTCTCACTCAAATCAATGTGAAAACGTAAAGCAATGCCATTCAACTGGATGTCTCCTTGAGTGCGCTACGTACCAGTATAATTCAAAGGAGCCGCGAGCTTTATCAAGGCAATATCATTAGTATTTTCTGAGATGCTATAATTGTGGTGAATAATAATCTCTTTTATCTGTGAGAAAGGTGTTTCTTTTGTAATCTCTGTCAAATCTAAAATGCCTCCATAAATGCGCCAAATATCCACAAAGTTGAGCCTAGGGGAGAAAAATAAACATCTATTTGAAACTAGAAAGGCTGGTATTGGATACTGGTCTTTTTTCCTTCCCTTTACCTTTAACAAAAACAAAACAAAACAAAAAACTAGGAAGAGAATGCTAAGTGTGATGTGTTTCTACTTACCCAACGCCCCCCCCCCCCCCCCCCCCCCCCCCCC